GGACTTGGTAGCTGGTTTAGGATCTTTGCCAAGAAACTGTATATGGGCCCGGTTATATTCGGTTTGCCCTCTTGGCTGCCTTGGTTTGGATATATGAGTGATAAACCTAGGAGACCAAATCCAAACAGAAGGTGTTTGACCCCATTTACAAGCAACCAGCCCCCGCTTGAAAAGCGCAAGGGCATGCCATTGCGCCACAGCTCCAACAAATACACCACCGACCCGCGCGGACTGCTGTGTTTTACCATGGAGCTGGGCCGCCTTTTTCTCTGAAGCGATTGCTTTCCTTGGACCTAGACAACCGGGCTGGTCAATATTCCATTTAGGGCCCCCCCTTTTCTTGGTGGCTTTCTTCATGGTCTTGTTGTTGCTTTTAGCCTTCTTTTGGGGGCGCCATATTGAGCATCCCACCAAAAAAAACGCCAGCATTTGACAGGCGGCATGATGGTTGTAGGCTTGGAACCATCACCCCCCAACCCCAACCCCCCCCACCCCCCACCCCCCCACCCCCCCCAACTCCCCACCTTTGCGTCTTTTTCGCCCGGACCGGCGTCTCGGTTTCGCACAGGCTGCCGCCTCCCAGGCAGTGCGCGAAGAGCTGCGAGCCGCGGCGCTGGCGCGAAGGGAGGCGCGGAAAAAGCCGAGGCGTCGCTTGGTTTCCCGTTGCCAAAGGGAAAACCTGGCGGCCACTTGCAACCAGGCAGCAAAGGCTCAAGGGCACTGGGCAAAGGAAACCTTCTTTGGCTCCAAAAAGTCCGTCAACAGACTTGCTGGTGCGATAGGCGGGGAATGAGGCAATGGAATGACCCCCAAGAAAAAAAACGCATCCAACTGGTGGTGTCCTGTATTCGGGAATCCCAAAACGGTTCATTCCCGACACCCGGACTCGGGCAATCCCTACCGAAGCTCACTGGCTGTTTCGTAGCTGTTTGGTAGCTGTTTGGTGGCTGTTTGGTGGCTGTTTTACAAGGAAGCCGGGAAATCATCCTTTGGAGGGTTTCCTCCAAAAAAGACAAACCCATATATAAGAGAAACCGCTGGGCTGTTCAAAGGCAATCAGCCTGGTCCTGCCATTATCAATGGGGTCTCCTTTGTAGTCTTCGCTGTGTGCTTGCTTTTGTCCGGACCCCCTAATACAAAGGATTATGTACGAGGATATGTGTCGCCCTTCCCAAAACGGCCCCGTTTGAGGGTATAATTTTGACGTCACACATGTATGGTGTTCAACTGGGGTCCCTATTTTAGTTGAGGAATTAGTGTACAGCCACAAGCGGTTTCAGGGTTGACGCACACGTTCATGACGGCATGGGCAGCTTGGGAACAGGTCTCGGTGGAAGGCTGGTATATACAGCAACCAAGCAACGCGATTGCCGTATGTTCTGCCGTCAGGTGTCAGCTCTTCACTTTCAATTATGTTGCCACCTTCTGTGAGTCTTCTATCGGTTTGATGTGAGCTTTAGTGGGAGGCCATTTATATAGGGGGAAACACTTATAGGGGGATTCATATGTCCACCAACCCCCTTGGTCCCGACTCTGAACGTTCATGAACATGCGTTGACATTTGAACGCACTGAAAGTTTTAGGCTCACTTGGTTCCCGGTGCGGGCCATATGGATCGCAGGTTTCTGGGGCTGGTTTCTATCAGTTCCTGCCCCCGTTTGAAGTACAGTTGGGTGCGTATATAGCACAGTCTTCCCATGTTGATTTTGTCGCCCCAGGAAATTGTGACGAAATCTCAGCTGAATGCATTTTTATGGGTCTTGCGTTAGGCAGAGGAAGCTGAGCAGTGCAAGGCAGCGAGGGTGGGAAGGGGGGTAAGGGGCTCCTTTCAGAGGCTGGAAGATGAAATGCATGAACCCTGACATCCTGACTAGTGCTAGTATTACCCGCCGGACATGGTGAGTGCAGTCCAACCAGAATGTATCATGAATCATCTGGATTCGTCACTGATTTTGCTTGTTACTTTGTGAAGCCCACAATTGAAGCCACCTGAAGCCTGAAAAGACAAACCAAACCCGTGTTGTCGGTTTGAACCCATTTACCAGCAGAGGAGCAAGCTTTCCCGGCACTCACCAGCCGGAGAAAAGCAAAGTGTCACTTTGGCCGAACCTGAGGACCCACAGAAAGGTGACTGGATTAGGAAAGAGCTGCCCAGCGAAACCTCCAAAGTTATGTTTTTTTGTCTTTGTTGTTTTTGCTGTGCCTTGTCCAGCTTTGGGCAGGCTTACTCGGGGCAATCATTACTTCGGGATGGCAGGCATGCAGGGATGGCCACGGACCTTGGTTTCCCTTCACACCCCAAGAAAGAGGTACCCAGAAAAAGACACACCACTATGATCCTGGGATAGACTTGTTGCCAGGTCAAATCAGTCCACCGTAAACGATGGTCGAGTTGCCCCAAGGCGAACGGAGGCCCTGAGGACGAGGCAAGCGGTGAGGCGGGTTTGCATGGAAGGTTTGGCTTGCAGAGGCCAAGGCGCAAGTGCGGTAGTACATGGTTGTTGTTGGGAAACAATTTGCATTTTTGCTTATTGTGGTTTAGTGGGAAATCACTTAATTGCTAAGATTTACGATTGTGCTCCTCTTCCAACGTCAGCCAAGAGTAGACGCTTAAGTCAACAGATGCAGGCCATCGCGATCATCACCTTGCACATTGTCCAGCCCTTCTGCAGTAAGGTGTCAAACATTTGAGACTTAAATTCGGTGAGAGCGAACTAGTTTGATCCAGTTTGCACATGGATGCGCTCGGGTGTGTTGAGTCTCAGCGTAAGTCTTGCAATGACTGTGCGTGCGTGTGGCCAACATTTGCATCTCAACATACGATCAGCTGCATAGGCGATCAATCATGGTGACCAACCATTTGTACATTGCGTAAGTTTGCCCAGATTTAGGAGCGCTTGTTGACATGATTGACCAGATATTATTGGGGTGCAACCCTCAAAGTACAGACGGAACGGGATACACCCCATCACACAAGCCTTGGCACGAGCTACTTTTTTAGTAGAATCATTGTCAGAATCATCACATAGTATTTGTTGAGGAGTGGTGTCTATCAACATGCAGTAATCATTTTGCGCGTGTTCAGTACTGAGCACTGTCACATTGTTCTGAAGGATCCATCGTCGACTATGGTTGGGAGGCCATGATTTCAGTATTCCAGCCGGTGGTTGGCAATGAGCGGTCACAACCGGCACCTCGCTTAAGTGTCTTAGTTGGTTTTATTGTTGTCCCTTCTCATAGGTGTCCTTTTTGGTTGTTTTGGTAGAAAAATAGATGTCCCTGGTTTACCTGGTGGTTTAATCATCTACCAGGGGCATACATTTCCCCTAAAAGGACACCTATGTCTCTACTGATGACCAAAACCATTTTGCACCTGGTAGGTGGTTTATCCGGCAAGTTATCACGAGCTCGCCGCCTTGGCCACGATTGATCCCATGAGTGTGCCTCAGTTTGGGAATCCTGAAGTTTATGAACTAGAGTCATTGGCGCAGGATCCGCGGAACACGTTTCTTTTGTTGACTGGCGGTTGGCGGTTGACCGGTCATCGCAAGGATTTGATTGGCTGGCTGGCTGGCTGGCTGATTGGTTGGTTGGTGACACTCATCCAGGTCCCCCAGTGGTGCCCTTTTACCATTTCTTTTTTGGGGGGAGGGTTCCCCTACTAAAATAGACTATCGAAAAAAGCTGGTACCAACTTGTTGAAACCTCTCCACTGGACCTTGTCATGATGCCGCGCCTTCACCAGGCAGTCACACTCGAGTGAGGCCCGGAGGGATGCCGAACGAACGCACCCAAAGCACCCCCTTTTCCCGTGCTCAGCGGGGGTGTTTCCAGCCATCCGGTCCCTGAGGAAATGTGCGAGTGTTTTTTTTGGTTTGGACCATTCAGAGGGGCAATTTTGAGGATGTCACTTGAATGGACCTAGAGCAGAGCCAGGGCTAAATGAGGTCCTATTACCGCAAACTTCATAGATGCGGGTCGCGGTGCTCAGACTTTTGACAAGGCCAACACTTTGCAGAATGTGTTACCCGAGGTATATGCACTGTTTTCACAGGCTGCAGCCTTCGGACCGGAGGGGTGACGCGAATCTTGCTTGACATGTTGAAGCACCGTGTCAGTCGGCATTGCCCAGTTCCCAGAAAGTCGGATCTTGCGCAGACCAAACACTCGAGACTCTGCGCCTGGAGGGCCTCATGAAGGGCTCTTACTTGGTCCCATGTTTGCTGCATGATGATCTGTCGGCTTTGTCGGCTTGGTGACGCTCTACCATTTCATGTCTCTGCGCCAATCCACGGCAAACCGGCTGAAGCAACCTGAAGCACGCGATGCTTTCAATACAAGGGGTTACATAATTAGAACGGGATTGTGAGTAGTGGGTTGCTTGAAGACCAAATTTAGTTGTGATCGCAAGATGGCGCAATTGTTTTGCCCCTTGTATTACTTTGTTGCTGTCATGTCTTTACACGGGCTTAAGATAGATGCCGAGTCAGGGCTGTGCACAGCGTTGCCTTTTCCACCAGACCCAAGGACAAATTGCCAAATATGTGTTTTGGATTGGCGGGGAATGTTCAGGGGAAAGAATCACCTGCAGTACTGACACATTCCAAACAACCTGAGGTGTCGATCTATGGGAGTGCGTTACCTTCTGTCCGCATACCTTGAGTCAGGCTCAGACCGAACCCTCTGAGCCACATCCGATAGCGGACCTTGAATTGAGCGGGCCTTCTTGGTGCAATGAGGCAAACTGTCGTTTTCCGTAGATGATTCAAAGGCCCAAAACCCATGCTCAAGCCCTCAGGCAGTCAAGTCAGATAAAGATTGCCTTAAGCTTGCAAGAAGTCGCCAGAACCCAAATAGCGAGCTTACCAAAGCTGAAAGAAGGTACACTCCAACCCAGCAACCCACCGGAACCCTCAACTTTGAGCCCTGATTTGGTGGAAACGAGCCACATCTGTTGACCACCAAAAAAATGTGTGTGCGTCACTGGTGCAGCAAACCGATGTGTATCTAGTTTATTCGGCGCAACCTTTGCCGGGCAATTTGCCGCAGCTGTCCCCATCACACGTGGAATCTCACACGATCGATGAGCAATGGTCAGGCGGGGGGGGGGGGGGCTGGGCCAGCATACCCCAGTGGCTTTGTGGGAATGTGGCACTCGGTGATTTTCGTGTATATATATATATGTATATATATATATATATGGCCATGGGGCATAACCTATGACTCCATTTTGGGGTCTATGAACATCCATTTGCCACCTATTTTGATGTTCACCAGGGGTTTCCTGGGTTTTGACCCACAGCCATATCTTTTCCTGTGCTGTGACCGTGAAATGAAGGCTGGCCTGGATGCAGGCTTACCTGAACACGTCATCTCAGTTCAGTCGACTCGGTTTTCCTTTGGCGGGAGGCGAGTCGTTTGAGAAGTGCGTGTCCGAATCGCGCGAGCTTGGCCACGAAGCGTTTGTTCTTGAGACTGGTTTCGATTGCTGACAAGGAGATGCGTGTAGCTTCCTTGAAGGAGTCCTGCTTGCAAAAAGTTAGGTAAATCACATAGGTTTAGAGAGATGGTTTTTAGGGTGCTAGACATGATTGTGTGATGCGAACATATTTGTTTCTAGGGTCGTCATGCGCCTTTTTGCTACAATCAGTTTCAGGCCTGAGACGAAGGCGCTTCTTAGGGCCCAAAGAACGGAGCCGGCTTGAGAAACGTCGTGAGAGCCCCTGAATTTTAGGTTGGTGACTTGGCTATGTCTCAGAGCTCAGAGAAGCTTGCGAATATTTGCCAATGGATAGTTTCCTGTTTTTTTTTTTTTTTTGTCGTTTTTTTTTTTGTTTTTTGTATTTTGAACTTGAACCCGTGGCAGAGTGACGAATGGACGGTTTCCCCTTTGTCCCCAACAGCTGAAAGCGGTGGCGTCTCAGCCCAGACAGGCTCTGGGGTGGTCCGGGGCGGCTCTAAGGTAAGGTTTTTTTCCTTGAACTCCTGGCAGAGGTCCGTGCCTCTTTCGGAGTGGCATCGGTAGCCCCCCTTTTAGGGGGAAATGGTCTTCCAGACAGTATCAGGGAGCAAGCTTTCGGGTTGAGCTGATTTGCTTTGCGCAGGGAATCCTTATAATATCAATATGTATATATCTATATATACCATATAGTATTATATATATATACACATCCCTGTAACCCTTTGTGGTTTGTTTTCAAGTAACCATAAGGCAAACCATCATTTCGGGGGGTCCCCGAAGAAAAAAAAGAAAGATAAAAAGGAAGAGCCGAATTTCCCTTTGCAGCCAACCCTCACCTTGTAAAAGGGCCACTTCGCGAGCTTCCGTTTGCAGTGATACATGCAAGCTGAACCTGATACCCTTGCACATCCCATCTGCTACATACATATACATACATATACATACATATACATACATATACATACATATGCATACATATGCATACATATACATGCATGTACATACATGCACATACATATACATACATATACATATACGCATACGTATACATACGTATACATACGCATCAGTACAGTATCGTTATGCGCACCCTAGGGGGATAACGAAGGGTTTTTTGCCTCCGGAATGGAAATCCCCCTGGCTCGGCAACGAATCAATACGACCTTCGTTTCCCGCCTTCACTCTGCAAATGCCATGGGCTTATACAGGCGTGAATCAGCTGCCACGACAAATGCTTTAAGCACAGTGCCCATGGTCAGCTGCATATCGGTGCTACATACGAATTGGAAGCCACGGTTTTCCAACGACAACTCACTTGTCATGCCTTAGACCCGCGCGCGAAAGCAGCAGGTAGCTCGTGCAGCTGCTGTCGCATCTTAATCGGCAAAAGGTGAAACCTATCGCTACCAACTGACTGAAAATAGAAACATCTTTCGTACTTAAGCTTCTCTAATAGGTGAATTTCCTACAATACAGCCGACAACGGCCTTTGGCATCGCCTGTCTTCATTATGATGGGAACCAACATGCACTGAGGATGCTTAGCGCATCGGCCATACTTGGAGTAAGGCAGCTCCTTCTGAGGCTTCTCCACTGATGCAGGCTTCTGATTCCGCTGCTCAGGCTTCTTCGCTGATGCAGGCTTCTGAGTTCGCTTCTGGAGCTTCTTCACTGCAGCAGGCTTCTGAGTCCTTGCCACTTGAAGACACGCTTCCTCACTTGAAGACACGCTTCCTCACTTGAAGACACGCTTCCTGATATGCAGATAGAAGCCCCACGTCCATGCGCGCATCTGAAACAAAGACTTTGCCCAGTCAGGTATATCCACTGCCGCGTGAGACTCATCACCGAAAGACATATCTTGCTTGTGTAGTTGCCATGCGCCGAAATACGTCAGCATCAGCTCCAGCTCTTCCAGTGATGCGGAAGGCATGTCGGGAAGCTGCTGAGTGCGGGAGCTAGAGTCAGAATTAAGACAGAGCAGGCGTGCTGACACTACATACGCAGATGCGGCCAAGAGCTCCATGGAAACAGCCGGTTGCCGGTCTCGAGCCTCCCACAGCGAACGAAGCATAGAAATGTGCTTCTGAAGACGGTCCCAAGCGTAAGGAGACCTGTCAGATATCAAGCATGTACTGCGCACAAATGCCACAATGTCATCAACGGGCGGCAAGCACAGTCCGCTGTGATACTGATCCAATGTCCAGATATTGCATTCAAAGAAAGCAGCCAAATCCGAATGAGGACATGAAACACCTGCCAGTCGAAGCAAAAGAATGTACGACAGGGCTAGGGCTGCAGCACAGTGCTCCATATTGAGCCGCAAGCTCGCGTAACTGCATGCAACAACTGAAAAAGCCTGCTTGCCTCGGAAGACGCACGCAAACATCTCCCCCCCCCCACCCCCAGCCCCCCCTGAAAAACGCAGGGCCGACCTGGGGCAGGAGCCTGTTTGTTTCGGGAAGGGAACGCAAACATCCCCCCCCCACCCCCACCCCCCCCCCCCAGAAAGCGTATGGTGGAGCCCCAAGCAACTCTTAACGACACTATACCCAGGTGGAAAAGGGCGATACCCAGGTGGAAAAGGGCGCGAAAGGAGACCATACCCATACGCATACATATGCATGCATACATACATATACATACATATACATACAAATACATACATATACATACATATACATACGTATGCATACATACACATACATATACATACATATACATACATATACATACACATACATATACATACATGTAGATACATGTACATACACGTACATGCATGTACATACATGTACATACATATACATACATATACATACATATACATACATTCACATACATACATATACACATACATATACATACAGATGCATGCGTACACATATTATACATGCATACTATGTACATAGGGAGCCTTTTATTCGGCATCTACTCCTTCGGCGGTTTTCGATTGGGGAGACGGCTGAGAGGCGGTGACCGCTTCACTGGTGGCCTCTCTCGGGGCATTCCTCTTCGGCCTCGACATCGGCTTTTCGGCATGCGAGTCTCAAAGCTCGGCGGCTCCCACGGGCAGAGCGCCCGAAACCCCACGAAAGGGCCCTGTGATCGGCTTCCCTTTGGTGGTTGGGAAGGTTGGATTGGTGCTCCGCGATTAAACCAGCTTTCCTCTAGTTGCTGGTGTGGGATTTATCGGCTTCTTGATTGGTTGACTCGCTTCCGAACGAGATGGGCCAACAAAAAGTCAGAACTGTTTCAGTACCACTATTTTGGTCTTCCAAAAAAAGTGGCTAAAGCCCAAAACTCAGGGAGCGAGTTTAGTTGGTGGTTTGGATTGGTGGTTTGGGATTTGAAGTCCTGGTTCTTGTAGAGGGCAAATGGACAACCCCCTCCTTATCCTCCATACCACCAATCCAAACCACCGGTCAGGGAAGCTGAATGTTGCTAGCTGGCTTTGCTACCCGGTTTAATAGGGATAGCACTGGTTTAAGGATTATAGTAAGGCCCAGAACCATCTTTCACCATGATAGTTGAAATGGGTTTCATTGCCATGCTGGTAGCTGGTTCAATACTACCTGGTTTAGGGATTATAGTAAGGCCCATATCCATAAACCATTCTAGAACCAAAAGTCAATGGGTGAAACGGCACCTCGCTGCTCATTTGGATGGTCAATCCAAACCATCCTAGAACCAAAAGTCAATGGGTGAAATGGGACCTCGCTGCTCATTTGGATGGTCAATGGGTGGCTAAAACCTGCGATCCCTTCGGCGTCACTGAAAATGTAAGAGAGGGGACCGCGGGTTTTACTCAACCTTTCCCTTTGCTAGGCAACCCATTTTGGAAATCCCTGTTATGCTTGAACCACACCTAGTTGTTTAAGAACATGTCTTCAGTTTATCCCGATGGTTTTGAACGTGGAATCTACCACTACTGGAAATGTCAGATCGTTGTATCCAGGGCATTTTGGCAAATGGAGGTAGGGGGCGAACTGATCCGTTCCGAGTCATGTCGTTTGGATGGCCAATGCAAGATGAATGATGATAGCAAGCAATTGTCACCACTGAGATTGGAGGATAGTTGCTGCGATTCCTTATTTCTTAGTTCCAGTGGAACATTTGGATTCCTGCTTCATGGTTTCCTGCTGCCGTTCCCCCTCCCCGCCCCGCCCGCCCTTTTCCCCCGACCCTCGAGTTTTGGGTATGGCTCATGTTTGAGTCATGCCCTTTTTGGCGCAAGCCAAGGCTACATCGCCTGGCACTCAGCGAGTTTTGATCGTCTTCCCTGTGACAGGGACCTGGGGTTGGCTCTTTTTCCATTTGCTGTGATGAATATTGATGTATTTCTCTTGTTGTTGTTTGTTTTTGTTCACGGGAATCTATCACTGCAGTAAATCCAGGGGGCGAAAAAGCAATGGATGTCTTGGACGTGTTTTTGGTCAAACCCTTCGAAAGCTGCCTTGAAAATGACCCTGCGGTAGGGCAGCAGCTCTGAAACACCCCTTTGCACGGTGGAAGCCGGCATGTATAAGCACTTTTGGGGGTAACATGCTGCCGCGCTCGATTCGTGAGGTCTGCTTCGTGACTGCTTGTAAAGGTGATTGCAGAGGCGTAGCCATTGGATTTCCAACACGTCAGATTCAGCAAAACTTGAGGGTCCAGGGGCGTAAACAGGCGGCAGGCGCGAAAGGTTTGGGTAAGCTCGCCTAGCCCGGCCGCCCGCCGCTAACGCCGCAGCGGCGCCAACACGAAGCGCTAAGAGCACGAAAAGAACAGCACCGCGTTAATCCGCCTAGAGCAATGATTCATTAACTTCCTCCTCAGAGTCGTGCACGTTGTCTTGAACAGTGGCGGCTGCATAGAAAAAGGAGCCTGCGAATGCAATTCTGGCGGGGAGAATCTCAAAACGCCGACGCGTAAGCGACAAAGCGACTCACATGCTTGCTGACTGGCGCGTAAGCAAAAACATGGGCCGCGTATGCAAAGTGCCAGCTCGCGCGCTTCTTCCACTTCATGGAAATTCATGGGGTCTTTTGGAGATGCTCAGATGTATCTTTGACAGCATGCACTCTTACTCTTTCAACACTTGGCAAGCTCTCAGCCTCTCTACAACTCTGGCTGGGAGACAAGCCCCTGTCAATGATCACCGGTGAGCGCACAGGGGTGCCACTGTCAAGATTTGAATAAGGATTCCGCCTGTTGTCACGCAAAGGGCTACACACTTACTATCATGTTGTTCCTGTGCTCATGGCTTAAGCTGGCTTAATCCTACTCCAACTGCACAACCCATTCCATTACTTGGACCTGTCTAGTAAGCCAATCATGGAAATGGTCCCACGAACCAGACGTTCCCTGCAAGTTGATGTGGACCCCCAACAAGGAGGTCCAAGCAAGGCAACTCCTGCAAAGACGAAGTATTTTTTGTTGCTCCATGTCAGAGGGTTGCCGATCTTTGAAGGGGAAGTTAAGCACAAAAACCGAAACCGCTGTTTCGGAGACTTCTTTTGGTGTCCATTGAAAAAAACCAGGGGGTGGTTGGGGCCATCTGTCTTATGCTTGATTCCCATTCTTTTCAACCCATCTTTCCAAAAAACCGGATCCGTTTTTTGGGTTTCCGGAGGTTTTCTCGAAAAGATCCCTGGGTTCAGAATGCGGAAGGTGCCCCTAGAAGGGCCCACGGCTCAGCCGCTCAGCCGGACGCCGGCGACTTAGGCGCCCATCCTGGAGTGCGCCAGCTTCAAGCGCGCGGGGCCGCCCAGCGGCGCGTTTGTTTTTGTGACCTCCAAGCTGCGAAGAAAAAAGTAGATTTTGCCCAATGCAATGAAACAAGCCAGCCTCACAAAGGGCCTTGGAGACTCTCTGGGTTGCTCAGGATGCTTGAGGCTCACTATTTGAGAGGCCCCTTGTCGGCTCTAGTGAAGCGCGCTCGAGCTCAGTTGCACCGCACTCAAAGGGTGCCAAGAACCCCCACGGTGAGCTTTTGAGAGGGCACCTCAACAGTGGTTAGAGATGAATGTCCACCAAACCGATAAGACTGATACTAGCCTCACCTGCGTGCGCGTGCGCGCGTGCGTGGGTGGGTGAGTGAGTGAGTGGGTAAGAAAGTATTTCTCTATATCTCTATCTCAGGTCTATCACTACTTATATTTGAATTTATGTCTCTTTGTGTGTGCGTGTATCTTTGTGTTCGTGTTTGTGGTTGTTGTTGTTGTGTTTGTGTTGTTTGAGCCTCGGTACCCCTTTCTTGTAGTTTCAACAGGAGACCAACCGGCAAAAGCCAAAATCCATTTTCGGGTCAACGTCTTTCAAAAAGGACGCCCTCAAACGCCTGGAAAGCCATCAACGGGTTCAGGACGTGGGTCACTTGGAGAACTGGCAGAGCCCGGAGTCCAAGATCCATGCCGGCCAAGCCGGCTTCATCGTGGCCGCGCCTCGGAGGAAAAGGGCTGGGTGGTGGGAGGGCGGTGTCCGCGTGTCCGGTGTCCTTTTTGGTTGGTTTTGGTTGAAAAATCGATGGGTTTCGATTCCTGGGTTACCTGGTAGTTTAATCATCTACCAGGGAAATCCAGCTATTTCCCCTGAAAGGACACCTAAGTGTGTCCGTTTCTTCAAGGACTTGGACCGTCCTTCAGGGGTTCAAGCCAGCCCATTTTGGGGGTCTCCGCAACAAAAAGAAGCCCACAAATGTTGTGTGGGAGCTGGGGTAGACATAGGATCCGTTTTGCCATTTTACCAGTGACTCAAAGGGAATCAACCAATAGAAAATACATTCTATAACTAAACCTAAGTCTAATCATGGGAGGGTGTGTCCGTTTGTGCAAGGACTTGGACCACCCAAAATTGTGTCTTGTGCCCTTCGGGGGTTTCAAGCCAGCCCATTTTGGGGGTCTCCGCAACAAAAAGACACACCCGCTTGGGTCTGCCGTTTGCTGAGTTGGGTTTGGTACCCTTTTTTGGGTTGTTTTGAAAGGAAACTAAAGGACACCCATTCATTTTTTGGGGTACCCCTATTTAGAGAAAAGCCATCATTTGTGTTCCCCCTGTGAGCTTAAAGTGAATCTATCACTATTGGGAGTCTTTTCTCATTTTGTCCCAGGGGACCTTTTGCAATTGGACGCGGTGCGGCGTCTCAGAATCGGGGCCCTTTTTGCGCTGCATGGTTTCTTTCCCAGTTTCTGCTTAACGATCTCCCCCCAATTTTTGGAGGGGTGCTGAGTTTCCTGTGTCTCGTGTGCCTTTGAGCATCTGCCCCCGCAGAAAGCCGCCACGTCTTGCCCCCCCCCCCCCCTCCCCCCCGACCCATGATACCCATTTCATGTGGAGCGGCCAAAAGACTCCGTTGTTCTCTTCTGTTGCAGGTGGCCCTAAGTTTGTGAACTGTGTTGGCGCATTTGCCGGATTCTTAGTTCTTGGCCCAGAGCCTTTGTAGTCTGAGGGTGCTTCTGTCAGGAAAAGCGACGGGAAAGGTTTCTTCATCGGTTGGTGTGTCAGTCTTTTGAAGGTTCGGAACCCTCTTTTCTTGACTGCTATTGGGTTGGATCTTTAGACTTTAACTTTTTTGGGAGATCAAGGGGTTTCCACTAAACCCCAAAAAGTTACACTTTTTGCAGGGGCGTCAACAGCAACCAAGTTTTGGGCTTCCTATTTTTCGGGGTTGTTACCATCCTACACGGCAATTTAGCCCTGATTTTGGCAAACACATGGAGCCCAGCAGAGCTGCGTGGATTCACAAACGTTCACTGCAGCTAGAGAATCTCCGTTTTTGGGCTCCAGTCAAGTTGCACGGGGGTAATCGTTGGACTTAAGCGTGTGATTCCAGAAAACCTCTACTGCGAATGGGGAATTTGTCGTTGAAGAGGTCATTTGCTATTGGTATCTCTCAAGTAGATTCCACTTCCCACGTTCCTGTGCCTGACACCGGATTTATTCCGCAGTGGTCAGACGAGTGGCTGCACAGTTCCCGCAAAAAAAAAAAAAAACATCCGATCCCGTGCAGTTGTCTTTTGCACATGGATCCGTTCCCAACCGCTTGCGGTCATGCCACCACGGACCTCGAGCAGTCAGGCAACCCCTAGTTGGTGGTTTGGATTGGGGAGTTGAACTTCGAACCCTTGGCTCTCGTGAGCACATGGAAAACCACCCAGCAAACCACCGGGCAAACCAATCACTGAGGGGCAAGATGAGTGGTTTCCCATAAGTGGTATCACTTAGGGGCAAGATGATTGGTGGTATCACTTAGGGAATCATACCCTCCCACTCCCTAACATGGAGCCTGACTGATGCCCATGACACTTGGCTTCCATGTTAGCGGGCCCGTCTCTTAAAGTTATCGCAGTTCCGTCGTGGTGGTGACCCTATCAACTACCATCTAGATGGAACTGTTGTGGGTGCTACGTAGCACATTCTTGAAATTCCCTAAAGCAAGCCAACACGGGATGTTTAAAAAAGAAACTAAAGGACGCCAAAATGGGGACGTTCAAAAGACAAAAACGAGACTTCCGATGTAGAACGCCCCGTTTACTTTGGACGTACCTGCCGTTTGCCGAAGAATACAACACCGCGAAGTGCTGAGATCTTCTCTATCGGGTGCCTGATCACCTCCTTCCCGCCCATTAGCAGCGCCTCGGAAGCACATTGGTCATGTGTGTCCCTTTGAACGAAAACCCCAAAAGGGATACTTGAGAAACCACCACGTGTGTGTGTGTGTGTTGCTCTGTCCTTTTGGTTTCCCCTTACCATCCCAAGACGGGACCCCTATTCTGAGAAATACCCAAATGATGTTTTTTTGTTTATCAGGGCACGCGGTTCTTGGGTTGGCTTCTATTGGGAAACCAAAGAAACAATGCACTACGTTGGGTTCCCATTCCTATTTTGACACCCCATTTAGACCTCTTTGGGTCTTTGTTGAGCGACATCTGGGGAGAAGCGAGTGCACCGTGATGTAGAGAGGTGCTCATAGGTGTCCTTTTTGGTTGTTTTGGTAGAAACATAGATGGCCCTGGTTTACCTGGTGGTTTAATCATCTACCAGGGCCATCTATTTCCCCTAAAAGGACACCTAAGGAGGTGCTGCTTCTTCGAAAATAGGACCCGTGGCCTGCGAGGTGAAGGGAAGTAGTGCTGAGGAAGCGAGGATCTCGGATCCAAATCCCGTTGAACCAGTCTGCACCGGTGATCCAGAGACAGCCAAAGGAACAGGTGGTGATACTGAGGTACAATCTCAAATGTTTGGCTTTGTCAACCAGTAATAGAAGCAGAGCGGCATAGATGTTTGATAGCTGATTGAATCCAGTGGTTTGGGTAAGCGCTGTCCATTTCCCTGCTTCAGGTCACTGAAACAAAACTACTTACGCTCACTCTGATTTGTGTGACTAGACGGTCATCAGAATGCCATTTGCACTTCATTTCGCAGTGTCCAAAAGTAGCCCTTTTCTTTGAACGTTTCACCCAAGCCACGTCACTGACAGCCCATCGCATATTGAACAATATACATTGCCTTTTTGCAGTTCCCGCGCTACACAAGTGAAAACCACAAGTGCCTGATTGCAGATTGCAAAGGCTTGTCGGTGAGCTTGACTTGGCTTCACCTGACCTTGGGCCAACGAGACCTGCCTTGGGCCTTCCCTTGCAATTAATTAGGGCCGGGTCAGCTACAGCCATCCCTCAGTTGTCCTGCGGGCCTCCAACTGAGGCAATTTCATCGGACCCCACCACAGTGTAATTAACGTTCAAAGGATGGATCCACAGAACCCGAGCTGGTCGAGGATGACCATGCCGAGTATTGTATAGGGTGCGTCTTAAAAAAGGAAGGCTTTAAGCATGTGTTTTTTGCTTTCGGGTCTATGCTTGAACACCAAAGATGGGATGTATCACGTTGCAACACCCACATACGATCCTACTGCGTGACACCATGATGAAGGTGGGCCTTTCTCTGATTATCATGCGAAAATTAGCCTTGGAAGCCAGGTCGGAAGCTAATCTAGATGGGCATCAGGAAAGGACGGTGGATATACCTGTAACTTAACTTTAAGATGCACTCCATGCAAGTTGCAGAACGCATGATTTGTCAATCATTGGTGTCTTGAGACTAGCTTGCCCTAGGTGTTGCCAGGATTTGTGTATTCTCGCAGAGGCCCAGGAAAGCCAGTATGAGGCTAGTGAAAACATGACAGGCAAACAATCTGACGCGCTGAGCATGGTTGCAGCATTGCCAGTTGCCTCAATAAGAGCAGAGTGTGTGTGAATTTCCAGTGTTGTCAAAGATCATTAATACATGGTCTTTAGAACATTATACGCCCTGACAAAAAGGCCTTACCCTTAATGAAGAAGGATGAAGAGAAACCCCCTGATGAGTTTTTCGTTTTTCCGGTTGCTCACACTGGGGCCTCCTCCAAAGCAGCTCTATATGTTCGGGTTGGCGCAATATGGTCACGAATCTAAATCGGCGACCACATGTTAAGAAGTGGCTGGTGGACAGAAGTCCCCCAAATGATGTGCAAGGGTCCCCAATTCCAAACTCGCCATATGAAACAGCAAGAGTCCCCAATTCTAAACTCCTAGCCATATGAAACAGAATCTGTTGTGTTTATGTTTTGTCGAACCCCTTGCCAAGCTCAGGCTACTTCCTAGACGAATTCGGGCGCCGGAATTCCATCATGCTGGGCGGAGCGTCTCGGAAGCGAACCTCAGGGGTCAAGATGCGCGAAGACTTCAGTGCCGGACTGGTGCCCTGTTTTCACAACCAGGCTGGTTGTGACAAGCACCGGAATGCATGTATAATAATATACAATATATATATACACATGTACATATATATATATATATATACATGCATACATAGTGTGTGTATATATATATACATACCTAGATTAATGTATGTATATATACATACCTAGATTAATGTACATGTTTGCCAGACCACCTATGCTTTCCCTCCTCAGCCATAGTTCAAGTATTTGCGAGCCTTTAGGATAAGAAGGCACTCTTGACGCAACCATGTGCCCCATTGGTTTCAACGCCAGACTGCACGTGCAATCTACTTGTGTGTACTGTCTTGTGAGCGTTGGATGTTCCATTCGTGAGCCAAGGGGAACATGGGAAAGGCCATGCCCAAATGGTCTGAAGAATGGTCTAGGCTTTCGGCGCGCGTGCGTTACGCACGGATTGCAGTCACCAACAGAGGTGCGAGACTTTGGGTACAGTTCGGTGTGCGTGTGCTCTCTGCAAAATAGTGCCAGTGTTGCAGAAGCTCAGGCATGCAGGCAGGCGAGAAAAAGAAAGGGCAGAACCGTTTGCTTTTTGCTCCTGTTTGGGGTTAAATTAGGATAGAGTACAAGAGTCCTGGCGACTCAATGTCAAACAAGTTCCAGGCCACATGCAGGATGTGCGCATATCTATACATATGTACGCATATAAAGAAATAAAAAACTAGAAGATTAAGCAGATACATAAATCAGTAAGTCAATAGATAAATACAATGATCAAATGAGTAAGTAAAACAAATAATTCAACATAAACATGTTTTTGTTTTGTTTTAATCAAATGCATAACTCAAGACATCAATTGAATAAATCATTCAAACAGCAAAGTAAACAAAGGTTCACTAAATGAACTCAGACACACTACATAATTGAATAACGACATGAAAGGCAACAACAAGCATAACTAAATATGTAAGTAAATGATATATCCAACTTCTAAAATAATGCAAAGACACGCAGGTATTACTAACTAACTAAGTACACCAGGAAATTCACAAATTCATAAGTACAGCCCAACACAAAAATACTTATATATATATATATAGCATCGTATCCACAACAACGTAGAACTCCAAAACCGGGGCCTTCAGACGCATGAGTTAACTCAGGTGATCTTCCTCCTGGGCTGCGCCTTACAAGCGGGCAGCGCGTCCATGCAGGCAGATCCGGCGAATCAGAGAGTCGAGCCAAAAGCTTTGGCCCTCTGGGAGTTTTAGGCTGTTTTTGTTTCAGCGTTTGTTTTGTTCTTGGTGTTGATTTAGAAGTGTTCGGCTGTTTTTTGGCTGTTAGGATTGGTTTGTTGTATTATTATTATCATTGCCATTGCTATTAGTATTACTATTATTATTGTTACCTTTTTTTTTATTTTCAGTGTTTGTTTTGTCGTGACGTTGATTTCTTTGTTTTAGGTGTTTTTTTTGTATGTTGTGGGTTTTTTGTTGGTAGTTCAACGTGTTATTGCCCCACACATCGCGAGTAGGGCATTTAGCTGTGTGGTTGGATGTGGTATAGTCACTTGCAATATTTGGAGAATCCACAGCAGTGCATCCATTCTACCGAGCTGCTATGTGATGTTTATCCATTTGCTTAGGCTTAAACACGACAACAACAGGACAATGCTCCTGCTTTCAGCCCATTTGCTTCTTTTCAATTTCGAGGGCTTATCAAAGTCATAATTTTGCAGGGTTCCTTTTTAGCCACAATTTGGCTAGGGGGGGGGGCCATCCTCAAACCACCCTTTGTTTACAATGATTGAGAAGCAAGCTGCGCTCTGCATGTAACGACCTTCATTTTGACAACTTCCACCCGGACCCAGCAATATATGTGTTTCTTTTTTATACATGCTTGCTCGCTGGTCGCAATACGTTAAACAGATCCATTTTTTGCTGAGTCAGGGATCGGAATGGCCAGAAGGGGTGGGCAAATCATTGCCAAAGCATCCAACCCTAGCTGCGTTTCAAGGGAACCAGCAGGAGGTTGTTTGAACAGTCGTGGAGCATTATTTGGCAACATGTGACATCTTTGCCCTTTACTAAAATGATGGCATACAATGTTATGCATCTCATCTAGGGTGTGACATGGACCAAGAGGTGCTAAAACCGTGGTCGAAACAGGGAATAGACGAGTTTCCTCAAGGCACCGGATAGGGGCCTTGGCCGCTTCTTGGTTGTTGGCCGAACCCAGGCCCCATTGAGGAGGGTTTATAGTTTACTTGATGATATCGAGGGCCTCGCCTGTAGCTCAGGCGGTTTTTGGACGCATCCTTTCAGGAACATCGGATACGATTTGGGTGTTTCTCAACATGGTGGAGGGGAGCCCAAATGGAAACCGCTTATTTCAGGGGAACACCGTTCTTGAGAAACACCTACTTGGGTGACTTGGGCGTGCCTTTTTTGGGGGCCCCTCCCTTTCAATCCCCCCCAAGAAAAAAAACAAAACACAAAAACACAAAACAGGGGTGCCCCAAACCAAAAAACAGCATCCCAGCAACGTATTCGGCGGATTTTGTTCGGGGGTTCGGGTCTCAGGTCTTCTTGGTCGGGCGGTTGATCACGGGCACCTCCATCGGCCTGCTGAGCAACGTGGTGCCCCTTTACCAGGCACTCGCCTCCCGGGCTTTCCCCCCGAATATCAGCTAGCAGCTGATTCAGAAGACTCCTAAAGTTTGGGCCAAAGGTAATCATCGACTTTCTATCAGCTGATTTGTTATTTGGTGCAGGTAATTTGGGTCAGCTACCAGCTGATGTAGAGGAAAGTTTGGGCCGTCTCAACTATTTGTCAGCTGATTTATTTATTTGGTAAAGCGGGTGATGCTTTTGGGTATGCCCGGAACTCGAAGCAGCTTTGGCTTTTCTGAACTTCAAATGAGTCACAATCACAAGTGAAGGCCACGGGACCAGTTTAACACCAGGTTTTGAGTATGACTCAATTTGGAAAGATCGGTTTTGTTTCATCGCTTCCCAACATTCATCAATAATTTGGACAGAGCGTCTCAAACAGCAAGTCACGCTTTGTCTGAGCAATCCAATTTGGTACCCCCCGTGTTTGTGTTTTATTTTGAGAAAAAGGAACAATGGAACGCCGAAGCCCAAAAACATGTGGGGATCCCTCCCAGGGTAACATTGAGAGGCTTTCCTTGTTTTGCAAGGGCACGCTGTATTTTTTCTGTCTTCAGGGCGTTATTTCGGGCCGAAAGGGAGCTGAGGAATCGACTGTCAATGGTCCATTGCCGTTTTCCAGGGACATGTTTCTTAAGATTTGTTTTCCATGTTGGTTTTAAAGGGAATCTATCACTACCGGAAATGTGTTTTTTTCAGGGGTCTTATCCAAATGAACTCTTGAGTTCCAACATGGACCCCTAAACTCTAAGAGCGCCGATAAATGGCGTACCTGGGCAGTCCTGAGGTCGGCTTCCGGGGACAGTCCTATCCCTCGTGTTTTTTCTGCCACGGGAACTGGGCAAAGTCAAGTTGCTTCTTCGAGATTTGGCTGTGGGTCAAAACCAATGGGATTTTATTTTGGGGTAGGTGAATTCACCACCCATTTTAGTCTATTTTAGTTGGGATTGGGATGTTCACTAGGGGTACGGGATTTTGACTCATGGCCATTTCTCTCTATGCACTTAAATTGAGCTATTTTGGCTCCGATCCTCGATATGGATGCGCGTTTTTGTTTGAGGTACCCCTTTTGGCTGGTGTTAAAGGGAATCAAAAGGACATCGACATTAGGCCCGCCATGTCCGCGTTCTGTTCATGGGGAACCCTGGAACTCTTACTTTGGGGTGTGTCAAAGTTGGTCCCCAAAGTGGGGGGTGGTTGTTTTGACTTAAGCCAACCCACAAAAGGCACCCTCACAAATAATCAAAAATGCACATGACCGGTTGCTTCCCCTCAAATTCACGTGGAACCCAACAAACTGTGTTTTTTTGGAGAGAAAACTCCTTTGTGGGAAGACGCTTTCAAATTCCACGTTACTTTGACGTCTGCGCAGGCTGAGATGGCACCACAAAACCTGCGGGGCACTCTGACATCTATGTACAACATGATGATCACTTCAGGCATGGGAGAGGGTCAGGAGAGACAATTTTGGGCGTATGTTGCCCCCCCCCCCCCCCCGAAATTCCATAAGTTTTTCTTGGGGGGTTCCCTTTTTGGGTGTGTTTCATTTCAGAAACCACAGGGAAGCCGCCGGAATGTAGGTTCCAACCTACCTTAAACCCACGGTTCTCAGGTTTCTAAGATCCACTTTGGCAACGGACAAAGTATAATGACCTGGGGAGAACACGAGCTCGCCTAGTTGCAGCTGGGATGTGTTTAATTCAGGTCGCTGAAAGAGTTGTCAGAAGGCTCCCGTATTCCTGGCAGGTGGCCGTTTTGGGAAAGGACGTTGGGAGGTAGCTGGTTTGATCAGCGGGCACGGTTCCATATTGTTTGTTCCAGCGATGGAGCTAAGCAGTTACACAGCACGCGTTAGGACTTTTTGTTGTTGTCAGGACTTTCTGGCTTGAACTTGGTTTTATATAAAGTACCCCACCACTCCATTCTGATTATTTAGGTCCTTGGAGCAGTTTCACTGAAGTAGAACTACGCGCGTGAAAAGGATCTTGCTTTCTTGCCCATGGAACACCACTCTAGCAAATGCGATGCTGACAAATACAAAATTCCAACAGGAGGGATGCGTGTGGTTGTTTCGAGTACCATCAGTATCTTCACTTTGCCGAAGCTAAAGTTTCTTTTCCTCTTGGCTTTCAAGCGAAGTGTTTATGATCGGTATGATATTGTAGAGTGGCACCTCACGCAGATGGTTGTCGCTATCCTGCTTCATTTGGGGTTGCCCTGGCCGTGTGCTTACGGGTACGTTCGTGCGTGCCTGCCGGCCTGCCTTCTTGCCTGCGCAGGCGAGTGGGCGTGCGCGCGCGCGCGTGCGCGTGCGTGCGCGCGTGCGTGTGGTGTGCGTGTTGGTTGTGTTTGTGTGTGTGGATGTGGGTGTGTGCTTGTGTTTGTTTGTGCTTGTTTATTTCTTTATTTCGTGATTCATTGATTTTGTTGTTTCTGCCTGTCTTTGTTGCTTTGTTTCTTTGCTTGCCTTTGCTTATGTGCGTGTTTCTATACTATGAAATGGATGGGAATTGCTGTTCCACCCCACCCCTAAATTTACAGCCGGTGTTGGGAGGGCACTGGTTTTGGGGCCAGGGAAAACAACGGAACACACCCATTTCGTGGGTTTCCCTGTTTTGAGATATCTCCACACGAGAAACTGAAGATGGGACTGGCACTGCTAGCCGGGGGAGGACGAAAAACGGGGCATAACCGAAGGTTTCCAAGTTTCCAGGCCCTAATGTTCCTCTGTCCGTTTAACATATGGGTGTGTGTGCGTGTGTGTTTTTGAGGGGACCCCAAAATCGTGTTTTGCTTTTGTTTTCCCTTTGAAACTACAGAAAGGGGGACCCTCGCAAAGCAGACCCTGTTGGTTTGGAGCAGACATAGGATGACTCACTCAATTCTTTTTCAAAAAGTTGGGGACTGACTATTTTCCTGTGTCGTAAGAACAACCACATGCTTTGACAGTGGCTCACTGCGTCTCCTGAGTATCGTGGACACATAGTCCAAACATTTTGTTCCCCCGGCGCTCGGAGGCATCTTTGTTGCTGCACTCCTGGACGTGTTCCTCGTGGACATTGACGGTGGCTGGCGCACTGCTATCGCCCTTCAGGCTGGGTTCTGCTAATCCCAAATCCTCGACGGGTGGTTTCAAACGACAGTTTGGGTTGGTGGTTGTCTAGGAGTTGATTTCCCATTTCTGTGGGCATGGGGAACCCTAGAAGCGCGAACGTGCAACCTAAGGTGAAACACGTCAATCGCACATGACATTAAATTGGTCATTGAAGGTAAATACGTGCAAACTGGAATCGGAACCATGTTTTTCTTTGGTCACCCCCCATTTATAGAAAGGGGAGCCATACTGTTTTAATAGTGACTATTGGTGACTCGAAGGGGCCGTTGAGGACTTTCAAGGACAATGAGCCCATGACCTCAACATAGCTCTAGATCATTGCCAGACTTAGCTTTCAGAAGGAAAGAAAGTGGGTCGGTCTTTTTTGAAGTTGGCACCCTTGTCATGCCTCTCTTTTTTTTTGGGGGGGGGGACACCCAACAAGAAACCACTTTTTGGGGGTCCCCACCCAAAAAAAGACGCCCAAGTAGTGCTCCAAAAGAGGGGTGGGCGCTTTCATGGTGGGAGGGTGCCCTTGGCACTCAGGCGCTACCCGCGCTGATCATCTTGTCGGCGATGCCCTTCCTGCCGCGCTCGCCCCGGTGGCTGGTGCAGCAGGCGGAATCTAAGAGCCTAAACGAGCAAGGCGCAAGCTCTCGGTGAGGCGGCTCACTTCTTGAGCTGTTGGACTTTGAACTTTTTGTGAAGACCATGTTCGTGGTAAATCAAAAGTTGCAACTGTTTCCTCTCTTTTTTTTTCGGCCAATCCACTGAGGAACTGAGGGTTTCGCTTCAGAGGGGATATAGGGGGTCCTCATGAAAGCGAAGGCATGCCCATGTTTCTTCACAAGCAGGCGGTGTTTCCCAGGGTTTGCTGCAATTACCGGAGCTGCCCACTGAAAAAGGTGTAAAGGAGAATTGGAGGGAAGCTTGTTATGGCCGGTGATGGGAAACCAGCAGAAGTCAAACCAAATGATCATTTCCATCTGCTCTACCATAGGGCTGGACACTTGGCCCCCCTATCAGAATGGTTCTCAGAACCCTTCTTCTGAACATTCCTTCCAAACCTTTCCGACAAGTGGGCGGGCTTTGGTGGTTGCCCTATACTAGGAACGAGTCAGAAAAGTAGTCCTCAGGGTGCAAGCTGCTAAGGAGGTACTTAAACCTCTTTTAACGCCCTTCCAACCCCATCAGCGGGGGCTGTGCACAAACCCAGGTGCCTTTGCTCATTTCTGCGTGCGTGAGTCCGATCCCTATCTCGGTTTCCGCCTGGCTGCCCTGTTGCCATTCAAAACAGGAGTGTGTTGCCGTTGTCAATGGGTCCCAAAGATATTATTTGGTACTGTCACATTCGCCACCATCAACTAGGTCCCCCAGTACTGCCCGTTTACTCTTTTTCCGGGGACGGTTCCCCTACTAAAACAGACTACAAAAAAAAAGAAAAAAGTTGGCGCCCTTATTCTAACCTCTCTACTGGAGGACCCAGTTTGCTGGGTGCAGTAGAGAAACCATGCTAAACCTGGTTTTGAAATCAGATGCCAGCGGGTGGCCGTTCCCGATTTCCATGCCGGCCCCGTTGGTTTGATTCTCTCCAAGCGCTTCGGGGAGCGATTGATTTCTTTCCGCCAGCCTGCCTAAGGGAGCTTCTGGGGGGGGTTGGTCCGAGCTGCCCGATGCACCCATGTATTGGGAGGCCCCAGGAAGGTGCCGGGGGGGGGGGGAGGGTGGTCCGAGTTGCTTTCCGCCAGCCCCTTTTCCAACAGTCTGGGTTTTGCCACCCTCCAATGCTACCGTTTCTTCCGGAAGTAGTGCAAGGTGACCAAGCATAGGGCCTGCCATCCATGACGACTGCTCGGTTTTGCAGTAAAATTCTAGGGGAAGCTTCCCCATTCTTCCCAGGGATCCTTCTTTTCAGGAGACCATCAAACACGCAGGAGGAACAGCTGGTTTTTGAAAGGAACGATGGCTGAAAAGGAATGCTTGGAATCAAGCCCTCGAAAAGCGGACTTCATCGGGTGCTTCGCCCTTCTCATGAGAAAAAACACCGCACTCCTGGAGCCGGGTGCGTCGCGGCGCCCTCATGCCCCGCTCGCTCCCGGTGCGGCTCGCGAGGGCCGGAACGAGGAGGCGGAGCGGATGCTCGCCCACCTGCGGGGTGACAAGCTGGTGGTCCAGAAGGCTCGCAGAAGGCGGTACAAATCACCCGTGGACCTCCGGTGGTTTGCCTCGAGGGGCCTTTCAGCTTCTTGAGGGGGGGGGGCCTTAAATTCAGCTTCTTGAGGGGAGGGGGGGCCTGGAAACAAAAATCGGCTAAAGAAACCAAAGGGTGTGGGTTTGTTGTTTTCCATGGCCACTGGGGGGCTTTTGGGGACAGGAGTGGGATTGCGGCCATTCATGTCAGTGGCTTTGGGGGGTCACAAGGAGCCATGGGATTGACCCTAAGGATCCTCAACATATGCGAGTGTGTGTGTGTGTGTGTGCTTAACAACGGGCACGAGCCCTGGCGTCATTTTGAGCATGGCTCATGTGGCAAATTGGGATCTTAGGAAATGCCAGCAGTATGGTTTTATGGTTGAGGTCAGTGCAACTCATTCTTTGCCTAATGTTAACTTCGGATTCATCCAGAGGACCCTGCTAGTCACAATTTTCCCACTAAAATATTATATATACATGTGTTTATACATATATATATATATGTATACGTATTATATATATACATATATGCCATTTCCGCTCCAAAAAGCCACCCCCTTGAACATCGTACAGTCCGGATTAATTCAAAGTTAGCATTGCCCTAGCAATCATCTCATGTTGCATTCACCAACAAGCAAACAAACAAGCACACAAAGAAACAAGCAAACAAACAGGGTCCTGGGCGTGCCTGTTTTTGATGTCGGATAGCTTTGTTGGGTTGGTTGCACCCATTTTCGGGTTTGGAGACAAACCCAAAGAAGTGTGTTGTCCCTGAAGGAAAGGGGATGGGATGGAATTGTTTTGGGAAACAAATGCCAGGAACTAAATAATCAATAGTTTAACACCTATCATGTGCACTGTAATGATTCTGAATCAAACAAAATGGTCTAATCCCTTATCATGATTCTAAATGTTGTTCTGCAGTAGTTACACCCCCCCCATTCCTGTTTAGGCACTTACTCTACAGATTACCGGAAGGAACCCAAAAAATCCCCACCAAACAGGAGGAAGCGCTTTGGGGAATCGGAACCCATTTGGCTTCCATGCCAATGTTTTCCTCATATCCCCAGGGTACTAGGGGGAGTCATCACTGTTGGAAGGGAACACCCCCCCTTATTAATAAACCGGTTGGTTGATAAATATGGGTTCCACACTAAAATGGTGGCTTTCTTTGTGGTTTCCCTTTAAGCCTACAAACAAAGTGGAGAAGAAAAACAGACCCCCCCCCCGTCCAAAGAGCGTACTTTGTGTGGTCGTTTTTCCTTGTGGTTTCCCTTTAAAGCCACCAAAAAAGGGGGAAAAGACAAATTTGATCCCCCCCCCCTTCCAGAAAATACAGACCCCCCCCCTCCCCCCCTTCCCCCCCCTTCAAGGGGCGTACAACTTTGGGTGACAATTGGGTCATATATGGGTTCCCCATGAATTTGAAGGGGAAGCTCCAGGAGTGACTTGCACTCAAAAAAAGGCGGCCTCATTGGGGCGTAGTATTGCAAAAAACAAATGGGCTGCCACTCAATTGGGTTTCCCACCAAGTTCCCCTCAAGAAACCCGCAGGAGCTCCAGGAGATCCTCGCGGAGTATCAGGCCGAGAAGGAGCTCAGCGGCTCCTGGAAGGAGGCGATCCGATCTCCCGGTGCTTCGGAGGTAGCCCACCCTAGCGGTACCTCTCACTGGTCCGAAGTGAATCGACGGGAGCTGAATTGTTCTTTGTTTTTTGTTTTCTGATTTGGATTGATGTGGCCCATTTTGTTTCTGATTTGGATTGAACCTGAAAAAATGATGGGTCCTTTGGGCAACTGAGACCCTCTTTAGCTACCCATCACCCATTCACGAAGCGCAAAGATTGGTTTGTTTTTGCCAGCTACATCCACGTCTCAAACATCATTTTTGGGGATTCAACCTGAGGTTGAAGGCGGAAAATACCGGAAGCCCCTGGGGTTCAGCAGGGGCCCCAAGTATTTCTGTTCAAACCCAGGTCAAGCAGAACTTGGACCAACTGTGGCTGATTTACCGCTGGGGGGGATGTTTAAGCGTGAAATAAAGGGAGACCAGTTGGAGTCCACATGTTCAAGTGATCCCTCTGTGGGTGTGTCGTTTCTTTTCCCCAAAACGGGCCCAACAAATTGTTGATTTTCTTTAGGCCCCCTCCGAGTTTGGGTTGGGTTTAGGGTTGGTTTAGACTTGGGCTACGTTGGATTCAGGAGTTAGTCTTTGGGGATCCGGTGGGGTTTGTCGATGTGTTGGCGTTTGAGGGAGGACTTTTTGTCCTGGGTTCCCTTTGGGCGTGTCGTTGCGCAGTCAATGTTGTTTACGGGGTCCATTTGGTCATGCTATGTCAAGGTTGACGAAGTATGCAAGACAATCCAGCCTATGTGACTTTGGGGACAAACATTGATGAGTTGGTTTCGAAGGACATTTAAAGAGCACCAACTACTCGTTTGGGAAGCTTCCCATTTCATGGAGACAAACCCATGTGGACTTGTATATGTTCTTTGAAGATCATTCGAGCCTCGAATTGTTCAACCAGTTTTTTTTCTTCAGCCTAAACATCATCACTCGAGCTTGCCTTCGCGTTTGGACTGATTGCAACCAGGCTCAACAACAGCCCTCCCGGACACCTGTGAGCTCGCTGGACGTCCTCTTCGGGTGTCCTTTCCGGTGTGGGAATTCGAGGTGAAAAGCAGAGATGGCAACCAGTGTGGGTTTAGTCATCCCCACCCAGATCTGCCAGGAATTGCGCATCCGGATGTAGGAGAACCAGTTTCCTCGGAAGCAACGTGTCTCTACGGCAAAACCAAATTGAAAAATGACGCGGGAACAAGAAGTTCTCTGTCTCGCCCAGCTGTGGGCCAAGGTTTGCACAAGCTCAACACACAAAATCCAGACGGGCAACTCGCAGGTCTTCAGTGGCAAGCTCCTGCGCTTGGTTTGCCTCGGCTCCGCTTTGCAGATGCTGCAGCAGCTGGTGGGGATGCGCCATGAATAGAAGAAAGTTATGGAAGGGGTAGGCTTAGGCTTGGGGTTTCGGAAAAAAGGTGGCGGTGTGTCAGTGTGTAAACCTGTAAGTTCGGCGTAAGATGTCGAGTTCGAGCACCGGGTGTCGGCTCGGCAAAGAGACTTTCTTCTGATTCCGTAAATCCCGGAATGTGGCCAGGGCAATCACAGTTGGGTGTGTCTTCTTCTGTGTCTATTTCCCTATGTTCCTTCCAGTGGGTTCGGTCTCGTCTTGCTTTGCCCAACTGATTCGGGGCCAAAGCAGGGACACGGCCACTGCGACTTGAACCTCAGTGAATGTATTGGCGGGGGAAGGGTATGGTTGCTTGACTATTTCACTTCCCAGGACATGTGTGAAGCTGGGGACACGTGCGTCCCACATGAA